GTCCATGCTAAATTTTAGTTTATGTGGAGGATATTGTTTGAGTTTTAAACCATTTTTGACTCAAATTCACGATACATAAAAGCTTAGCACTGATTCATTGAGACCATGGGAAGGTCTTTGAATAAATCCCCAGCTGCAACACAAAAGGCAACCCTCTCGCCTCCTGCAAAGTAAATTTAGGAATCATTTGTACCCACATTTTTAAATAATATGAAAGGTTCTATGGCATACTATAGTTTTCCATTGCATTTCACCTAGTTAAGATCAGCAATATAATAAAAAAGCAGACCACTATGCCAAGGGTCAATTTCGAACACAAGGAGAGAGGAACTCAGAAAAGATGATTTCGTGAAACAATTGGAAATCAAGACAAGGCATTTACAATGAGAGTAGTTCAGGAAATGGATACAACATTTGAAGGTCTGGCCGCTATAGAGTGGGTATAAGCACAGTCACAAACGTCATATAAGATCTTCATCATGGATAGTAAAGCACGGTCAATTAGACTATAAATCCCTTCATAAAGAGCAGCGCAGGCCAAGTACATGGGCAGTCAGTTGGTTCGATACTGAATTAATGATAAAGATAGTCTTGTAGTTAGTACCTGAACAGGAGATTGGCCAACTCAGTACATTTGCCGAATTTAGAAACGCATGGGCTATAGTGTCATGGAGATGTCAGCAATCCTGAGCATCAACGAGTTTGGGTCCCGTTATATGAATCTACCGTATATGGACTATTAAACATTTAGAGCAGACCATGAGAAATAATACCTAGTATGACGTACACAGTGGCAGAGAAAGTGTAATCGATTAACCATTGAGGTACTAAATGGACTGCTGAGGTGACGAGAGAATATGATAGAAATCAGGCAAAATGTTTCGCAAACGGGAAGGAATAGGCCATTTCTGCTCGAACTGGTTCGCTTTTTCCTAGCAATTACATCAAAAAGGTTCACGTTCTTGACAATTTGGGGTTTTATTTATTTATTTGGGGTTTTAGGGTTTTATTCGTTTTGCTCTATTAGTTTCTCCCTACTCTCTGTGCTTTGGTCTAATAATCCTCTAATGCCTATCTTTCTTATTCAATTCATCGTTGGTAGCTTGGCCTTAATTATCTTAATCACTCCACCAGTGATCTTCTTTCTTGATAATAAATGCATTATGAATGCTTCCATACCATCCTACTTCCAAAGCCTTATTTGGCTTTACCTGATTTATCGACTCATTCTACCATGCCTCTACTTCCATTTCCAAAGTAGCGAATCAATACTCCTCGTTTTATCAACGTGTCAGCATGATCATGATCTATATTGACCTGAGGTAAATGCTATGTCCGCTTCTGCTTCACCTTATGTTTCAACTGCTAGTCCGTGATTGACTTCGAGGTCTTCCAAACTTCTTACTTACCTTTAAGTTCTGAATACCTCACTCATGTTCATTTTTGATTAACTTTAAACTGAAAAATGAGTAGTAGTTGAACGCCTGTCTTTTTATAAAGATAATTCTTCTCATTCGATAACATTCTTTAGGTTTGAAACTTAGTGTAAATAGTGTTTTAAAGTTTAATTCAATGAAGTCTATGTTTTCCTTATTTTCGCAGCTTCTTCAAAATACTTTATCGATGCTCTCTTTTCCTTTCATTTTAAATCACCCTTATCTTCAACCCTCAGGTAAATTTTGCCGGTTTCAATCTAACAACCTTTCCTGCGCCTTGGGTTGGTGGAAATATTCTGTCTAGTCTACTTAGTAACCTAGACTTTCTGCAGATGATTCGGCCACTTTCTATGGACCTATTAAGTCGAAATGATGCTAATGTGACTGCTAGTTTGCTTCATCGGATTTTAGAACTGGCCCAGCTTGCTGTAGCCAAAGCAAGCCAGCTTAATAATAGCCTTTCAGGTGAATAATGTTTTGTATACTTAATCTTTCTATCTATTCAGTCTTGCTATGTTGATTCTATTGCCCTTCCATAAGTCTATATGTGCATCAGTCTATTTATCTATGGACCTGAGTTACGCTAGAGATATATAATTATAATCTTTAGTTTTTACCCTTTTGCGTTTTATGAACCTATGTCATATTTATCATATATTATTTTCTTTCATTTTCCTCAGAAATCTGTTGTATACATCCATTAGTTAGGAGAAATTTTTCTTTTAATGGGTTTGATTTACACTTTCTTTCAACTTGACATTTTACTCATATCGCCTTAGCGAAGACTAATGATAACAGGAAATGCCATTTTGCACTCTCGGCACTTTAATTTAAGTTGTAAATTTTAATAAGTGAATTATTGCTAGTTTTCCTGAGTCTATTCACTATTACTCTACGAAGTATCTGGAAACAACGGGTTTAGCTCCACTACTACCCTAAATTTACTCATGGTTCCGGCTTAGTCGCTGATTTAACTAGTATGGATATCGATGCTTCTTTATCAAAGATGAGTAGAACCGTCATAAGACTAATTCGGCTTCCTGGGGTAGATTATATATTTCACCCATAAGTGAAATGTATATGAATTGAATGATAATTTAGTTCTACGATACTTCTTAAATTCCCTTATAAAGAGTGCATACACATGCAAACATAAAGAGGTTTTGAATTTGACTTTCCTCAAATCCGCCATTCTGTATTATTCTGTATTATTTTATATTTACTTCCTTTTGGAAGGAACCCTATATCAATTTAGTTAAATAAACAATAACTTTGAGGACTGCGCACAATTTTTTCAGGAACATATAGAAAATATTGCTTCATATCGTAAGTCAAAGGGCATGGATATCCTTCACTTTGTTCACACTAAACTAGCGGTGGTTGCTAAGTTGCTAAGCACTGATCAGAAACGCAAGCAAGATTTTCAAATAGCTTACAAATTAATGATTGTCCATAGAATATAGCAGGATAAAAATTAAATATGAGATCCTGGAATATCTAGCCTAAAAGTGGTCTGATAGAAAATAGTTGGTCTACGATTACTTAAATTTTATTGTAAATTTTTTAGGAATTAAATAAGAGCAACATAGTAATATGTATAGAGAAACATATTATCCCTGATTCTATTATACTAGTCTGATTTTTTACATTTTTAAAGCTTTTTGGTTGGTATCATCATTTTCCAACGCTATTATAAAACTAGTTAACTTTTTTGAAACTTGTAAAATAGATGGATCTGCACTTTGCAGACCATTCATCTAATAGAGGGTATGTGATAATAGAATAGGATCAGGAAATGCATCGACCTAGGAAATAAATATTATAAATAAAATTATAAAACGATTACAAAATTCTTGAAGTGTAATAACTAATGACATATTGTATGAAAAAATTAGAATTATGTATGCCTGATGGATAGTGGGCTTGTTAAACTAGCTTTAATAGGAAGAGTAGATAAAAATCAAGAAAATAATCTCGTCAAGAGGCCTGAACAAAAATCCACAAACAACTTTTCAGACGAAACGTTACTATAGACGAACAAACACCTTAGTAATAAAATTTTGCTTCTTTTCTTACCCAGAACTTAATCAGAAAGATTAGGAGAGAGAAATTCGTCTGAAAACATGCAAAAGCATGAACACAAAGGACGCACCCACAAATGAATGGATAGGATAGATAGTATCATTAATACCTCAAAAGAGAAGATATTCATTTAGTTATGGTTTAGACACTATGTTTTTAGTCATAGTATTGGAGATTACATTGTTCATTTGGCTTCCATTAGAATCCATATCATTTTGATT